GCTCTCGAGTACCCACATGCTGTACCAGAGCGCAGCTGCGAAGTCTCACTGTGGTAGGTGACAACGTACGGGGCAGCGTTTGAGCGCTTTTGAGCGCTTGTTCACTCTGATTCCGCGTGACGCTTGCACTAGCCGGCGTTAGGGCATAGCTACAGACCGTTGCCACACGATTGATTGCCCATTCCGCGAACATGTCTCCTGCTACGTGGGCCGACATTCGTCTCTGTTAAAGGTAATCAATATGTCCCTGGGAGGTGCCAATGTTCGTTTGTGTCAAAACGGCGCCGACAAACCTGGGTCAGCGCGTTGTAGGACCTCATGGGAATATGTACAAGGTTACGAGGAAGCTATCCACTGACAACACCGCAGCTGTTGTCTCCGCCCGGGTCTTTCTCTGCTCTAGTGTCTATCGCTTGAGAGCTACACTGGACAAGGCAGAGCTCTTCAATGAGTTCATTAATCCAGAGCTGCGTGATCATATGCGCGAGACGATACTCGACAATGCCCACAAAATCCATCGGCGCTACCTCGAAGGCGAGTTTGAAGATCAACCGGCAAGACTTGCCGGTCTCGTGGATGGTCTGCGTGGGTTTGGAGTCAACGATGAAGAGATCGACGCCATCATTGCCATATCCAAGAATGTGGACGGCGTGCCAAGCGAAGAGCAAGATAAAGAGCCCACGCAAGGCCAAGACGATCCTGACCACTAAATGTACTTCGATACTATGCATGGCAATGGTAATAGCCCCGTGAACATCGAAGACGGCCAGATAGCCTCTGCGAGGCGGCTTCAGCAATATCTCCCTGGGCTACTCACAGGCATCTCGCACGTAGCGTCAAACGCGGATCGTCGTGAACATGTGGATAATTGAGGCAACCTTGATGACCAGATGGAGGTCGATGCTGCACATGGTGACATAGATAGGCCTATGGAGGCTGAACACGGCCCACAGGCCTCTACAGTGCCTCAGCTAGCTCGTCTCAGAACGCCGACAGACACGACGCCTGCAAAGTCGAAAAGTCGTGGGCGTGGTCGCGGTCGTGGCAGAGGCAGAGGCAGTAGTCGTGGTCGTGGTCGCGGCGGTACTCGCGGTGGCGAGCACGGTCAGGATAACCGTCCCGGCTCCCCTGACCCTTCCAACTCTCTATCCACTGGCACCACAGGATCTCTCAGTTTGGAAGCGAATTTGCGAACCAAGGCGGTGTTAAAAGGGCGTCCAGACGACGTCATCTTTGAGCTTGATAAAATGGTAAGCTGTCCTGCTGCCCGACCTTTTATAGAACTGAGAACTCTTTCCAGTGCGCAGGATGCATCGACGGCGAAAGAAGCCAATGCATCGTCCATGTGAAAGAAGACAAATGTATAAGCTGCCTTCAAGTTGGCAGAAGCAAAGTATGTGCCCTGACGGACGGCACCGGCATGTCAGATGTTGTATTGCGTCTCTTCGCGAAACGTAAAGCGGGTACTGATGGGCCAGCACCCGCCGCTTCGGCAAAACGGCGTAGGGGCGATACCAGCAGTACGTGTCGTGCATTCTTATCTAATTACAAACCGTCTGAGATGTATCCACAGTGCACGCCGAGCTGTCCTCGCCTACGGCTGCGGGACCTTCGAGACATTCCCCTCCATCGGCGTCACACGAACAAGAGCAGCCCCCTCCACTTGTGCCGTCAGGCAAGTTGGGGGCCGACAGTTCCTGCAAATTTTGGCACTTATGAGGCTCTGACTTGGATAGAGGAGCGAATTCGGTGCCATGATGCAACACTCGCCCGCATAGATGCTGAGCTCGAGAAATTCGGAAGTAACCCGAGAAGAAAGAAAATCTGAGTGACGCTGCAAAGTGGGAGGACCAGTCTATCTGATGTCCTGCATTGCATCTCGGGATTGGCCTCCGCCTTCTATGTACATTTTTCCCTAATATTATAATAGTATCGCTAGCCGCATACTTCTCAGGGTGTGTCCTGGTGGCCATGGTATACCATAATGATAATCTTATTGCGCATGCCAGTTCCAAACTTGACGCGTTGATCTTTTCAGGGCTCAAGGGGCTTACGCGCGCCGCGCGCGCATCTGCAGCTCGGCCTCGGTTAGCCGAACTAACTTTGTGGGCAAGCGTCGGAGGCTGAATATAACACTAGAAGACCTGTCCCATGAAGATTCTCCTCCCACGATCGATCGATCTCAGCGACTTCAAAAGGGTAGGAATATTTCTCGAAAGCTGCCTTGGTGGGTTCGTCAAGGTAAGCTCTCCTTTCATGTGATGTTTGTGGCGATTCGTTTTGTGGAACGGTAGTTGACCCGAGCCGCACAGGAAGCTGTAGCCGCATTGGATAAAAGCAAGCCATCTTCTATGCCCGCTGTACACCTCACTAATTGATACACGTAATGGCAACCGGTCGATTCATGGGTACAGGCAGGAGGCATCCACGATTCAGATCTACGGTAACAGGCTTCGCCTGTAGCGCTTACGGAGGCCCCCGCAAACCGCTCATCGGCTAGTCGCAATGGCGCCGAAGAAACGTTGGGCAGAGAAAATCGAGTATGGCTGCAACCCGATTATTAAAGGACAGCGTGCACTATAAGAACTGTATGTGGAGCGAAGAGGCGGTCAGTTACTTGTAGGCTATTCTACACCATGGAGTCGTTGCGGCAGTGTATATCCTCAGTAAGTAGTAGCGTGCCCGGATAATGTCAAGTTGAGAGATATACCGAGGTCTTCTAGGATGGCGGCATTGCTTGTGCCATTGGAAAGCCATCCGAGCGCCGCAGAGTACTGTACTAGGACAGTGTCCTGTAGGTGAGGTGAGAGACGCCAATGGCGGTCATGCACGACCAGCAATGCGGCAGTGTCTTGCCAAGCGTCGCCTCGGCTGCTGCGACTGCACGCGAGCGCCGAGTACTCAACATCATCACCGTGGAGGAAGTAGACGCAACCGTCGGGTTCTCAGGGTGATGGTTGCACACCTCATTGGCAAATGTCGCCTTGCTGGCGAACGAGCTCGTCGTAGTGACAGCATCTACCGAATAAGACGCCGAGGTTCATGGGCAGACAACTGACGGCGCACCCGCAGTATCTTGAGTGTCGCACATAGATACTGTGAGGTTGATGCCACAAAGGTCTGGTAACTCTACTTAGTCTACTATCAGCTACTATGGGTTCATGCGTACCTGTTCTAAGCCCGCTGCATAGCCATACAACTCTTGCTCACACTGCGCAACCTGACTCTACGCAGCTTGACAGAACCTATATTGAATCGGAAGAAAGCGAGGAGCCTCAGCTCTGTGAGTTCGAGTCGCTCCGGCTCGCTCGACGTTCGGTGGGCAGAAAGTGGGCGCTAAGTATGCCTTTTGATCGAATTACTGTATGCGGCAGTGTACCTGAGGACCCCGGGGGTGAGACCACCTAGAGGTAGCTAAGCGAATTGTTTCAATAAGATCTGAATCGTGGATGC